ACACTCACACAAACACTCACACACACACACACACACACACACACAAATACAAAACAAAACACTGACATACAGACGAATGCGACTAAAATAGAAAAAATGCACAGACAGATGTATTCAGCTCATATTTCACCCTTAAAAAGATTTTTCAAAGTTACGTTTTACAAGAAAATACTATTTCAGTCTTTCTACTTAAGAATTGTACGTTTAATTCAGTGTTACTTGCTATTTCTTGGTAATTATCTGTGAAATTTACTAGCAATTTTGGAGTGAAAATTGTTTCAAAGTAAATCCTACAGCATTTTTTTTTTCAATGTACAACTATAACGATAACAACACAGAATAACAATATTGTTATATTCACTTTCAGAGCAATGTCCAGAACAGAAATCTGAAGTCGGGCTCAAAATTCTTGTTTGATTTTGTTGACATATTAGAGTTAAAGGCTTTTCCAGAAGGGATTTTGGATTTCTCTTTTTATCGCTCCATAAATCAGAAAATACTGTCAGCAGACAGAAAACAAACACACTTTTACCATGTTTTTAAGAATAAAATGTTGTATAAATCAGTGTGAATGAGATATGAACAAACCCCTCAGTAAAAACCTCCAGAATATAGAGAGGAATAAAACTCTAAGTTTTGGTGTTTGTAAGTGCTGCTGAAGTGGAGAAAAAACTCTTTAAAGATATGAACTGGAATGGAAATCTACAGATGCAAATAGATAAAGTGCAATAAAATAAACACTTAGATGTGTTTTTCTGATTTTTTTTTTGTACGCCAATCTGAAACAACACTTAATGAAATGCCAAACAGCCCAAAATCTCAAAACTGACCAGTGTTTTACTATTCTGTATTTTGTTTTTTTATATTGTTTTTATACTAAGTATTTTGACTTTGTTCTTTGCAGATGTGCATTCTGTAAAATATTTTAGTTAGTGAGAGTGTTTTCACCAACATAACTTTTGATTTTGTTTAAATATAGTTCTAGTTTCTGTTAATGATAATTCTTCACATTCCACTAACTACTTTTTAAAGAGCTTTCGTTCAGTCGCTCAGCTCCGTTGGATCAGCCGTGCTGTCGCGCGCTCTACGACTTCGAGGCGGAGAACGAGGGCGAGCTCGGCTTCAAGGAGGGTGACATCATCACTCTGACCAATCAGATCGACGACAACTGGTACGAGGGCATGATCCACGGCCAATCAGGGTTCTTCCCCATCAACTACGTGGACATCCTGGTGCCTCTGCCTCACTAGGCTCCGCCCACCCCCGCTGTTGCCTAGCAACCCAACAGCCGCCTTTATCGTGCATCTGTGCTACAGCTTCACTTCCTGTTCCTGTCGATCAGTGACTCGGAGGATTATGATGATGTTGAGGAGGATTAAAGATATTACGGAGTCCCGTCTAAATGGAGAAGCAGTTCAAGTGCTCAGTGTGTGTGAGTGTTTGCGCTCCTGGACTCGTGGTTTACGGTGAATCATGAGTCTGTTTATATTGTTTTCCTCGTGTTTCAGATTATTTATTTGTACTTCATAAGGGAACTTGCGCTTCACTCTTCTGATAAACCTCACTTAGTCCAGCTCTATCCCAGCATGCTTATAGGAAAGTTCTGGATCTCCAGATGTGTGTTTGATTGCGTCGCTGCTCTCTGTTTGACGCACACGTTCAATCTTTTTTCTCCTCGCTAAGCAGCGAACAACAAGATGTTGTTCCGATTGATTTTATTGCTTGCTGATGCATTTTGGCTTTGGCTCAGAACAGAAAAGTTGCTCCTGCGTTGCAAAAGTTATGTTTTTCTCAGTGTTTTTGTCTTGTTTCCAGTACAAATATCTAAATATTCTTAAATCAAGATACATAAATTACTTTAAAATATACTTAAAGTCTTGTTTTCTGAAAAAAAATATCAAAATGAAGTGAGTTTATGCTTAAAACAATAAAAAATATCTGACAATGGAATAAAAAAAAAATTCACTTTGAATTAAGTTTATTTTTCTGACCCCACTGACAGATTTTATTTTACTTTTTTAAGAAAAAACTAATTTTTCAATCATTTTTTTCATTAAATAAGACTTCATATTTTAAGACATTTTGTTTCAAAATGCATAGTAAATATTATATTATATATATAGTACAATATAGTAAATATATCTTAATTACATTTTTTTTTTTTATAATGGAAAACAAGACAAAAATAGGGTAACACTTTACAATTAGTTAACTGTGGTTAACTAACATTAACTAACAATGAGCAATACATATTTTACAGTCTTTATTAATCTTTGTTTATAAAATTACAACTGTTCCTTGTTAGTTCATGTTGGCTCAGGTTCATTAAATAATATTAACAGATGCAACTTTGTATTAGTGAATGTTGAAATTAACATGTCCTAAGATTAATAAGTGCTTACGAATTATCTTTCATTGTTAGTTCATGGAATATTATAGTGTTACCCAAAATACTAAGCTGTTTGGTTGTTTGAGAACTACTTATTGTTCACAATTTCAGTGAAATATGAAAATGCAATAAGGATATTGAACATAGAGCACACACATGTCGACTTGATGTATTTTGGAACATGGTTAGCTGGTTTGTTATCAAACCAGCCCTAAAACCCGCTTAACCAAGATGGTCAACCAGATCAACTTAAGCTAACAGTCCAACTGATAAACCATCTAGACTAGCGGATGACCAGCAATGTGCAGCCATCATAAGCTAGTTAAACTGGGTTTTCCTTTCTCAGCCTGATGGTAGATGTTTCCTAAAGCAGCATATGAAGTCTTATTTTTGAAATAAGTGGTATTTCCACGAATGCCAAGATTGTGTTACCGGAGTGCGCTGGTTATTGTGTGTGTGATCGACTGTATCCACATAGAATATAATGCTAGTTACTACTGTAGTGTTAGCGGTTAGTCGTTAGTGCCGTGATGTTTGTAAGCACATGTGGTTTGAGAAAGACTATTTTTAATGTTAAACTGATGGATTGATTGCAGCTGATGAACATTTATAGCGTCTAACAGACTGAAGTGTAGCAGCGCTTGTGGTTTTAGTGATTGATGGACCGTGTTCTTCAGCACTGTGTCGTTTGATGCCTTCAACGCGCTCGGCCTTCATTTGAAACTCGTGCCGTATGTCGACCGCTGCTCACGGCCAGACCAGTGACTATGGAAGCTATTTCCAACACGGAATAAAAAAATTAAATAATGGACTTTTTATCTCACTATTATGACTTCTCTCACAATTGCAAGTTTATATCTAGCACTTGCAAGTTATAAACCCCGTAACTGCAAGTTTACATCTCGCAATTCTTTTTTTTTGCAGAATTCTAAGTTAATGTTTTGCAATTGTGACTTTTTTCTTTGAATTTTGAGTTTACATTTCACAATTCATTTGTTTTCTTGTTTTTGCAACAAAATTTTTAAAAGTAGTTGAAACTATTTATGTTGCAATTTGGACTTTTTTTTTTTTTTTTGCAGAATTCTGACTTTTTTTCGCAATTCATTTACATTTAGTCGTTTAGCAGACGCTTTTATCCAAAGTGACGTACAAATGAGGACAATAGAAGCAATCAAAATCAACAAAAGAGCAATGATATGCAAGTGCTATAAGAAGTCTCAGTTAGCTTAACGCAGTACACATAGCAAGTTTTTTTTTTAATCATATAATAAATAAAAAGAAAACAGATAGAATAGAAAAAGAATAGAGCAAGCTAGTGTTAGAGGTCTTTTTGCTTTTGTTAATTCAGAGTTTATATCTCAAAACTCTGAACTTTTTCTCTGAACTCTGAGTTTGTCTCGGGATTCTGACTTTTTTTAAATTTTATTTTAAGTTTATATCTTGCAGTACTGACTTTTTCTGGGAATTTTGAGTTTACATCTCGCAATTCCAATTTTTTTTCTTGGAATTCTGACTTTTCTCTTGGAATTTTAAGTTTATATCTCGCAGTTCTGTCTTTTTCTCGGAATTCTGACTTTTTTCAGGATTCTAAGTTTACATCTGGCAATTCTGATTTATTTTTCTCAGAATTCTGACTCTTTTCTTTGAATTTTGAGTTTACATCTCGCAATTCCAATTTTTATTCTTGGAATTCTGACTTTTCTCTTGGAATTTTAAGTTTATATCTCACATTTCTGGCTTTTTCTCGGAATTCTGACTTTTTTCAGGATTCTAAGTTTACATCTGGCAATTCTGATTTTTTTTCTGGGAATTCTGACTCTTTTCTTTGAATTTTGAGTTTATATCTCGCAGTTCTGACTTTTGTCTCGCCATTCTGATTTCTTTCCCTCTTAATTCTGACTTTTCTCTTGGAATTTTGAGTTTTATCTCACAATTCTGACTTTTTTTTTGGAATTCTGACTTTTCTCTTGGAATTTTGAGTTTTATCTCACAATTCTGACTTTTTTTTTGGAATTCTGACTTTTCTCTTGGAATTTTGAGTTTTATCTCACAATTCTGACTTTTTTTTTGGAATTCTGACTTTTCTCTTGGAATTTTGAGTTTTATCTCACAATTCTGACCTTTTCTTGGAATTCTGACATTTTTCTTGGAATTTTGAGTTTTTATCTCACAATTCTGACCTTTTTTTTTGGAATTCTGACTGTTCTCTTGGAATTTTGAGTTTTTATCACAATTCTGACATTTTTTTTTTGGAATTCTGACTTTTTCCTTGGAATTTTGAGTTTTTATCTCACAATTCTGACCTCTTTTTTTGGAATTGACTTTTTTTTGTGGAATTCTGACTTTTTTCTTGGAATTTTGAGTTTTTATCTCACAATTCTGACCTCTTTTTTGGAATTCTGACTTTTCTCTTGGAATTTTGAGTTTTTATCTCACCATTCTGACCTTTTTTTGTGGAATTCCGACTTTTCTCTTGGAATTTTGAGTTTTTATCTCAATTCTGACCTTTTTTTTGGAATTCTGACTTTTTTCTTGGAATTTTGAGTTTTTATCTCAATTCTGACCTTTTTTTTGGAATTCTGACTTTTTTCTTGGAATTTTGAGTTTTTATCTCACAATTCTGACCTCTTTTTTTGGAATTCTGACTTTTTTCTTGGAATTTTGAGTTTTTATCTCAATTCTGACCTTTTTTTTGGAATTCTGACTTTTTTCTTGGAATTTTGAGTTTAAATCTCACAATTCAGTTCTTTTTTTTGTTTTTTGCCATGTAATTAAAAAAAATAATAATTGCAACTTTTTTCCTCACAATTGCGAGTTTATATCTAATTTTGCATCACAATTCTGAAGAATTCTCAATCTCAGAACTGAAAAAAGGTCAGAACTGTGATGTAAAACTTGCAATGACCATTTTTATGTTTTATTCCATGGTGGACACAAGCTTCCATAAGTGTTTAGAAGCGTAGCGGAGAGTTTTTGTCATGATTTTATTCAGGGCTGGTAGCTGAAGAAACGCATCTGTTCTGGAGGACAGCAGATTTCTTTATGTGAGCGTGTGTTTTGTGCCATCTGTTCTCCGTCACGCGGGTCTGAATCAGGTGCGACGCTGCAGCCCATGCATCACATCTCCTTCATGGTCACTGAGTTTTTGTTCTGAATAGCCGTGAACACAAGCGACACACCACAAGATGTTTTGTTTTGATTTCTGGTGTGTCATGCTGTGTAGCTCCGCCCACGTGGCTTCACCTGTGTTCTGATTGGCTGTAAGTATGCGTCGCGTCGCACCTGGTTTGGTGAATCTCATGAAACCTGTGAAGAAGAGCATTTCCGGCTCATATTTCACCCCAAAACCCCAATTATGTTTGACTTTTTTAAGATAATTAATGTGCAATCATTTTTGCGCAGTCATTATTTTTATGTTTTTTATTGTCAGTTGTAAAGTATATTTGTAGAGAACAAATTAAATGCATATAACTGATTATTTATTCATTATTTTATATATATATATATATATATATATATATATATAATTCATAAAGAGAAATTATTCACGTTCATAGTTCTCTGATGACAAGTAGTGGTCAGCTAAATAGAATTTCATATATTTTAGTAAGTGTTTTGAGATTTTTATGATTGATAATTATTCATAGTAATTACAATTATAATTTAATTTATTTACTTTTAAGTAAGTGTTCAGTTCAATTTTACATTTTTATGATTTAATTTATTATTGGCTTTTCATCAGCTCATGATTGTGATTTTTTTTCATGAGAATTTAGCGTAAATCTGTTTAATTGGCATGAAAATATTGTCACGTAATGGTAAAAAATGCAGACTAGATTACACTTTGCTGTAATAATCTGAGAGGATTCATGAGGTTGAGACATGCTGTTATTCTGAATCTAATGGATCTAATGATTAAATCAGACAGTGTTATTATTGATAGTATTATCACAGATTTCCAGTCAGTCACATCTGATATGGGCAATAACTCTGAAATCACACTCTTTGAGCTCTATATGAATATATATAATGTAAATGTGTGTTTGAATGGCAGTATAAACACTAGAATCATTGCATCATTACACAAACCTGTAATGTGTGTGTGAGTGAAAGTGTGTGTTTTGCACGTGATGTTACAGAGATTCACGGTTATGAAGGTGTACGTTTGTATTTATTTAGTTTTGTTCCTGTGCTGGATGACAAACCTGTACCGCTTGATGTGAGAATATAATGAGAATAAACACAATGTCACTGTGTGTGTAAGTTCTTAAAACAATCATAATTTTCTTCTAAAGAACCTTTTTTTCACTGTAAAGAACATGTTGTGGAATGGAAAGATTCCATGGATGTTAATGTTCTTTATGGGACCATCAATGAATAATATAATTATAATAATATAATATAAACCACATGAATCCTGTAATGG